TGAAGTTTTAAGAGGTCAACCTTATACTTTAGCTAGTGATATATATAGTTTTTCTATAATTATGTGGGAATTAATATTTGGAGTTCCTCCATTTGATAATAAAGCTCATGATTTTCAACTTAGTTTAGATATTTGCAAAGGTAGACATCTCAAAATTATTAAAAATATTTCACAATGTTATATAGATTTAATGAAAAAATGTTGGGATATGGATCCATTAAAAAGACCAACTGCATCAGAAATTAAAAATATTATTAAAAATTGGATTGAAAATATTCTGAAAAAAAAATTTTGATAAAGAATTAAAGGATGATATTATAGATTTTTATAAGGCAGATAAAAAATTAGATTTAGAGCAAAATTTAAATACTGATAATAAAATTATTGCTAAATCACATCCTAATGCATATTATACAAGTCATTTACTTGATTTACTAAAAGAATAAATGCTATTTTAAGTGAAGAAGAGAAAAGTGAATGTTTAGATTGTAAAATTAATGATTAAAAATAAGCATCAATTACTATATTTAATTATCAAATTAAATTATTTGATACTATTTTAATATTATAAATTATGATTAAATTTTATACTTTAAATTTTATAAATAAGTAGTAATTAAATGAAATGTTAAATAATATATATTTTAAATTTTATTGAAAATTTAAATTTAAATTTAATAAAAACTATATTTAAAGTATTTATGTAATAAAATGATTTCTCTACCAAAAAGTCGTTTAAAGAGAAGAGATGAATAATCTTCTTTATTATAAGCAATAGATTATAAATAAAAGATTTCAATATGCGGTACTATTAAATAATATAAAATTTTTACCTTTACTTTCTACATTTGGTAATACAAATCGAACTTTATCGTTATACGAAATAATTAACTTTATTTTCGATGTTGACCTGATCCAGGTTAAAAAGTTATTTATTATATTTTTTAAAAAATGTAATTCCCATTAAACAGATGTCAAAATGGCATAAAATTTTTTTTATTGAATAAAAATACTTGAAACTTTTTTTTATTGACAAAATGATTCACAAACACGAAACTAACATTGCTAAATTTCTTGTTGGATACTTGCTAAAATAAGCACTATTAAATATGGAACTAATATAACTAACAAAAATTTTTTTTATTATATTACATTACAGTCCCAGCTAAAAGTAATGGCGGTTGGGATAATACTTAATTTTTTAATTGTAATATCTCTATTATTCTGATTTATCACATTATTTA